ATGCGATTTTCACCATCATTTTTTTGACAAAAATTGAGCTCCAGACACCGATATTAGTTTTTGTCTATCTCCTATAGAAAAGAGTGTTTCCATTTAAAAGCGTCGAATTTGACCCACCCTGTACATTACTTTAGTTTTTCTTAAATTCATTTTGAGACCTACTTTATTGCTGACTGTTTTAGTTCGTTAATTTGTGTTTGTAGTTCCTCAGGACTATTGGCTATTAGGACTATGTCATCAGCGAATCTTAGATGGTTAAGAAATTCTCCATCTATTTTTAATCCTATGTTGGTCCAGTCTAGTTACTGAAGATTTCTTCTAGTGTTGCTGTAAACGGCTTTGGGAATTGATATCGAGTCTTCTTGTCGTACTCCTTTACCAGTTTTACGGGTAGAATTAGAATAATGTTGGCGCTATTCCAGTATTGCGGTATATGTTTTCTCCTTATACAGCTGGTGTATGTATATAATATTTGCTAGGAATTTCCTACTCACTTTTTTCCTACTGAATTTCTTACTAACTTGACTTGAGGGAAAATAACTTGAGTTGACTTATATTTCATATCAATTAATCTTTTAGTTGCGTAATCGAAGGCGCGATTTTCAAATTCACTGTTGCACCATGGGCATATTTGGCGCCGTGCTGACTAACTGGAATTTAAATTTCACGCTGGGGATTCAGGTGGTAGCTCTGCTGTAAAAAAATGTCAATTTACTGCATTTATTTATTTCCTGACATTGTCATTCCTTTTGACATTTTGGTTTTGTATTTTTTGGTTTAAATAAATAGTGCTGTGATACTTTAAGTTTGAAAATGTTTAGTAACAGATCTTGCAGTCGAACATTGTTCTTTTTGGAACCTCTTTTAGTACGAAGTGTACAAGATTGCTTAACAGCCGTAAAAAACTCATCGCAACTTTATTAGAAAGTTTTAAACGGAAAAGCAATAGTAGGTAATGGCCCTTATGTCCTTTATGTGCTGTTAAGAAAGTGAGTTTTGATGATGTAAATAATAACTGTTTATATATTAATAATTTAGTTATTTTTTTATCCTAAAATATTTTGATTCAAGGAAAATATATAAAAGTGGGCAACGCTGTGCCGGTCAAGCTTAATCACGTTACTAAAAGTTTATTTGGTAAGAACTGTAAATAATTATAGCTGTTTTTGTACACGAGCCTAAAATAATCAAATGTACCTAACGAATTTATTTGCAAATCCAACTCAAGTGCAAATTAATATTAATTGCATTTATTGGAATTACTTACTAGTGCATTATGAAAAATTATACACGTCCTTTGTATTAAAATAATATCATTGTTCATGTGAATGACCAATGTCTTATACAGTGGCGTAGCTACCTAGAGGCTAGGCGGGGCAGTGTCCCGGGGCCCTCAAGCTCAGGGGGTCCTTGAATCCTTACCAGAAATCTCGAAATGAACTTTTGGAAATTTCTCCCATTTTCAAAATAAATTTGACAGCTTGCAACCCTACTTTAATCATGACAACTCAGTTGAGAGAAATTCAAAAGTTATGCCTAGAGAATTCCCCTAAATTCTTTCTGTAGGTTGGCAGTGTTGTCAATTTGACGGATAGTAATATGTGCGTTTTATTATTCATCGATGTGCGTTTTATTATGAATTCGAGTTAAGATTTTTTTTTGAGAACTAAAATTAATGCTGTATCACGAGTAAGTAAGGTACCTACTGTCAATAAACTTTTTTGTACTGGTTAATATAGTGGTTCAATTTTATTTGATTTTACCACTCATATTGATGTAAAGTCAATAAATCGTGTCAAATCTATAGATTTCGGCTACAGCTCATTGTATAACGCGAAATATCGTGAAAAAATGCAAGTCACCTGCAGTAGGTACATTAATTCAGGTCGGCGGGCAGATCGTTCATGGTCTCCACCGTTAAACGTGGTAACACTAAGGTTTGTGCAAACCGCATCCTCCTATATCTTTTAGTAATAACTGAGATACCGTATGATTTCAACCAAAATGGGACACCCTGTACATTCTTCGCCATCTAAACAAGCTCTTAGAATATTTAATATCAATTTATTTATATACCTATATACTTGTATGTAAAAAATGTTAACTCATCTGCCACTATAAGTTATTAAAAAATCTAGTACTAGTTTTTACAAATATACCTACTTCGTATAATAAAAACAAAATTTTTAACAGATTAGTATCTATTTTTAATACCCAAGTCCCTAAATAAATCGTATGTATAATTTATTCTGACAACTTGAACTCTTAATAATGAGCAACTATTGAGTGCTAGAATGCGACCTACATTATAGTATTTACAGCAATGTTATTATTTTTTACAATTCCTGTCACTTCTGCACAGGGGTGGATGGGGAAGTGGAAACCGGCCCGGGAAAAACAGACAACCGGCCCAAATCCACAAAAACAAAATGACCATAACGTATTTTATTTATTACTACAAGGTGTCCCAGAAATAAGTGCAAGTATTTTAATTGGTAGTATAGTTGAAGCCCAGAAACAGGCCTATGAGGTTTTTTTTGCAAATTTTTGAAAATTCGGAATTTTTTGAAAAATGTTTTGGATTTTTTTTAGTTTTTAGTTAAAAACATAATTTCTTGATAATATGGCAACATAGGTAGTAGATTAAATTTACAAGAAAGAAAATCCAGAAAAGATCCAGTGATCCATTCTCAAAATTTGAGCAAAAAATTGGAAATTTTCAAAGTAAAATAACTGTGTTATTTTGGACTTATTTGAAAAACGATGAAGAGAAAATATTTATGTTTAATTTATCGAGATCTACCACTTCTTAAAATACTTGCACTTATTTCTGGGACAACCTGTATATAAGTAATGGTGTTTTAGTATAGTATAAAGGTTTAAAAAAAAAATATAAATTGTCTTGATCAAAATTTTCGTAAAGACCAATATTGGGTCGGACATCTGATATTTTTACTACAAAATGGCTCAGTTTTACAGGGTTCTACTGCTTTTTTTCCATTATCGATAACGGTAATTTGATCTTGAATAGGCTACGAGTCACGATTTTGAGAAACTTTCCTGATTCATTCAGTTCAGCTGACCCAATCCCCTCTGAAATACATTACTTTAAGCTTTTCGGGTATATACTTTCTTACACATTCTAGAAATAAATTCTCTATTTTCTGCTACAGCAGCAGCCTCCTCGTGTACACGTGTTATTAACTGAATGAACCGCGGTCGCCGTTAAAACTGCAGCATTTTTTAGGTTATTATATAGTTCTTATCATGAAACTTTTCCTCTATACTTTTGTACATTTGGCATCTTGTATGACAATGCCATGATCAGAGCCATGACTCAAACGAGAAGAACCTAGGCAATACCTAGGCAGTGGATATAAATGTGTTCTGATGTAATGTTATGTTACAGTCCATAATAAGAATATTTGGATTTTCGAGACATATTAATATTTTATTATCTAATCTAGTTTACACTTTATTTAACTCTTCTCTGCTGTCTCAGTAATATTTAGCAAACTCATTTTAGCAACATTTTAAACAACAATTTAGACTTGGCTTTTAGTTCCGTCCCAATTCAAGCCAAGCATAGATGTTTTGTCCGTCAACTGCAGAATTCGCGTCAAATTGGTCCACCTTTTTACAAAGGGGAGCTCGAAAAATATTGCACCGAAGCCCCCAGTTATCTCAATCTACGCCACCGTATTCTTAGTATACATTTAGATCGAGACTCTTTAAATTTACCTAATGATATTCATTCTTTTTTCTTGCTGCCAGTCAGTCATATTTATTAATTATTAATAAAAGAATATTGGGTAAAACTATACAGAGTGAAAAATAAGTGCAAATATTTTCAGGGGTGGTATATTTCGATCCCAGGAACACGTCTATGAGTTTTTTTTTGCAAAAAAAGATGTTAAAAATCGAGCATTTTCTTTTAAATTCTTCTGTATATTTTAGAAAACTTTTTAGAACTCCTGTTCACCGCAAATTTTCCCACGGTATAGTTTCTTAATCTCTGATATTACGGCACTAAAAGAGATGCAAATACCGAAAAATTGAGCTGGCTCAAATTTAAAAAAAAAATCTATTTTTTTTTTTAATTTACAAACTTTAATAATTCGATTGGACTTATTTGAAACTCGATAAAGAAAATATATTATGTTATTTTATCTACCAGCCCTGAAAATATTTGTTCCTTTGTATAATAAAAATTTTCAAACCGAACAAACAACAGATGATTATTAAAATTATGTGTCCCAGAGAAAGACATTTTACAATAGTTATTTTACAAATTGGTGTTTGTGTTTAAAATCAACTGACGATTATACTGATGAAAATTGATTAGTTAGTTATGGAGTCACTAAGGATCTTACGTCACTTTAGTTAGAAGATGAACCATTTAATTTTTGCTAATCCAATCTTTTTTGAGCGCTGATCGGGACCGGCCCACCGGCCCACCGGGAATTTTCCCGTTTTCCCATATGGCCCAACCACCCCTGCTTCTGCAGCAGCTGAAAGGTCACTTAGCAAATTAAAAATAATAAAAAATTATTTAACAAATAATATGGGCCAAACTCGACTCGGACACTTATCGCTAATAGCAATTGAAAGCAAAACCGCATCAAGCCTGGATTTTAGCGAAGTCATTGATACTTTTGCGAAAACTAAAGCTAGAAAAAAATTGTAAATATAATTATTGTTATTTAGTCAGTTGGTAGGCCCGACCTTTATATAATAAACCCTTGAATCTTCTCTATTTCGTCTTATTAGCCAAACCCACACCAAGTATTAATTGTAATTTATGTAGTAGCTGAGTATTTTTAAAGTATTTGTATATTTCATATTTTTATTTGATAAAACCTAATCAGTTTACATAGCAGTGGGGCCCCATTTTTTAATTTGCCCCATGGCCCTTGGTTACCTAGCTACGCCACTGGTCTTATAAAAATGATATAGTACATATATTTAGTAGTGTATTTAAAAAATAACTTTCTATTTACCAGTAAAAATATATAAACGTTTACAATAATCTGGCATACGTTGTACACCATAAGCAATTTCTTTAATTCGTACGGCTTTCTGTTTTTCATAAATTCTGGTCCCCATTTCAGTACGAAATATAAATACGAACCGAGTATTAGTAATATTGTTGCAGGACTACTAACAAGGAATAAGTTCTTTGTTCTAGAATCTGAAAATAATGATAAACATATATTTAGATATCAAAAATATACCAGATACTTATTTAATTCATTATTCTTAATTTAGATTTTATATTTTTATCTTAAAACGATTTAATATAGGTAATATCTAAATAAAGAAACGCTTCAGACATTGAATTTATTAATGGTTCCAAAGACATCTAAATAAAGGGAGACAAAACAATTTACATTTTATTGCGATCACGAACCGTGTTGAACCAAAAATCGATGATGACAGATTTACGCGGTATGTGATAGAATACAGTTTGAGTTCCAAATCTTATTATTGTTATTAGTGTTTTTGGGTACATATATAGAAACGTTAAACTAAATATTTGTATAGGTATATAACTTTAATTAATACATAAATATTTTGTGCCAGGATTATACCTTTGAAATTATTTTTAATTTTCTAATTAAATTATATTAGGGAAATTACAATGACAACTACCGGCATAGCTGTGGATTCATCTTTACTACGAAATTGTCAAAATCTCTAAGAATTATGCTGACATTTGACGATTTCATTTGTTTTCATTCAACTTATATTTGACAGAGCGCGGTTGTGAGTTTTCTGCGGTGGTTGAAAGTTATTGTATATTTTGAAGAACTTTCTAATAATTATTAAGGTTTATTGCAAAGAAAACTATTTAAAGTAGTTTTTAACCATCTACAATGGTTCGCCAGTGCTTAGTTTGTAAAAAGGTGGACTATTCTAACCCGGAATTGATATTACGACGGTAAGTGTCATTACGTTTTTTTTACCTCCCAAGCAACACAGATAGTAGCAGGTACGGTTCTAGGACTACAAAAGCGACCATCAAGTAGACTGCCACTATCGACGGCTACGTTCCGCCACGTAACTGTTACTAAAATGGGGAAGAATTTAGGGTAACTGGGTAGTATACCGGGTGGTCCCAGGGACTAACGCTGCCACTATATTTCGTAACTGTAAAGTGAAAGGGTAGTAGCGGTCACTATCCTGATACGTAGCGGCCTAGTCGCCCCTAGGTAGCCGCCTGGTAACTGCTGCTATATAGTAGCAAAACATTCTTCTAGCGACCTCTACTTTTAAAAAACGTTTTGAAATAAAATGTGTTATGTTTATGAGGAAAATGATGGTTTTTAATCGCGTATTTCGGACACTTCCAGGACTAATATTATAACGCACGTCACTTTACTGACAAATATTACCGAGTTAGATGGAAATATTTTAACGCGCCTTCGAATTAATTCAATTTTGTAGATATTTAAGGATAAAAAATAATATCAAAAATATTAAAAATAATATTTCGTAATGCATGAAAGTGTGTTCGAGTTCTAATTGGAAAAATAAATGCTTAAAGCACTATAAAACTTGGGAAAATAAATAAAAAATGAAAATATACTAACAAATAAATTTAATTAAAAAATTTCTGACAGTAAAAAATGGCTGACGCACACTTCGCTACGATAAAGTTAGGCTCTTCCTTATGAAGTAGCAGGGACTACCCATTTTTTACTTTAAAAGATCCGCTACTTCCAGTGATTAAGTTGTTACTACCCAAAAGTTACTTTGTAGTATCGGTTACTACTTTGGAACTTTATTATTCTTAAATGTATTTAAATTTTGTACACTATGGTAACTACTGGAACTAGAAAGTTACTTTGAACACCCAAAAAGTCGGACAATCACGCATTTTATGACAATATAGTTCCATATGTTTCTATAAAGTTCCGCCTACCTCTCATCTCAAAACAATTTAAGAACACTAATTTTTTATCTACGAGCCTTGGAAAAATATATTTGATCAATTAATGTTTTTCGTGTCTTGTCCTGACTGGTTAAAAGATGCCTAAATTGTATTTTTAATCATATCTCAATTTTTTCAAATAGAACGATGATGACTTAGAATATTTGGAAAAGGCATTTTTTACGAATAATTTGGTACCACACACTTGGTATTTCGAGTCAAATTGCCGTTATGAACCGATGTTACAATTTCAAATAAACCATATGAGAAAATGTCATATGATATGTCATTCTATTCAGAGTGTCATTTTCTATTGAATTAAGTAAAAAATATTGAGGGTGCCATTTAAAGATCAAAAGTTGTCTTTTCCGTTGAAACATGAAGTGACCAAAAACAATTGAATAAAAAAAATGATGAATGAGAAAATCGAATTTTTACTTTCACCCTAATCTGATTTACTTCAATTCCAGTCTCCAAAATCTCATTTAATTCTGTTACAAAATCATGTAAAAATTCTTGTAATGGAGGTTTTAACTCGCCACAATAAAGGGTTGATCGCAAGGATATTCATGCATTTTTAGGAGTATCGGCCAAAATTCTAATGGAGGCAAGCCGTCAACATTAAAAATTAGAGACGCCGATTCTAGGTTGCTCTCTTCGGATAAACGTGCTACTAAAATCTTCCTTATTCCATTATGCCAAAATTCCTCATTTTTCATTGGAACAATGGCACAATATCTCGGTGTACTCAATAAAGTCCTGCTGTTTCCTGGCAATGATGTTAAGCCTTCATTTTTAACCTAACCTAACCTAACCTAACCAAGTAAATCTGTTAAAGCAACGTTGCTAATTTGGTGTTTTAAGGCTCAATGCCTAGTTCCTGACTGATATTACTTTCTTCTCTGAGCTCTGTTTTATCTTTAAATTCATCAGTAGTCACCAACTCGACATTCCTAGAAAAATGCATCTATAAGAACTTTACAAATATATAAAAAAATACGACAATTATACATAATAAATACATGAATTTTCAAAAATAGATTTAAAATAATTTATTGTGATATCAAGCCCAGTCATACTTCTCTAAATTTAATCCAATAAACCCTTTATCCTGGTGAACTTTTCTAGGAAGTTCCACTAGCAGCGCAGTGAACAAACAATTTTATTGATCTTTATTCTTGTGGTAATGGACAGGATGGGTAAATACGCGATCTGCTACTATAAAGAAATATTTTTTAGTTTCCACAACTTTATAGTAGCAAGACGTCAATAGAAATATAGTTCCCGTTACTTTATAGTAACAGACCATAGTCGCAGCTACTATTTTGGGACCAACAATTAGTACCCAAATGCCTCGTAACTTTAAGACCCAAAATATAGGGTACTGCGACTATTCTGTGACTAAGCATGGGACTATATAGTAACAAGTACTTTATACACCCATTTTAGTAGCACAGGCTGGTAACCGTTCTGTATTTATTGTCACTATGTAGATTTTGCCACTTAGTGGTAACAATGAAAGGATTTGCGTAGTCCCAGTTACTAGACGCAACAACCCATTTGCTACCATAATTTTGGGTGTTTAAATTCCAAATGACTAGTAACAGGATGGTAACCGATACTATCCAAAAACACTTTGCAGTGGTATTACCGGATATAGTGACAAATTAGGTAACAGGGTGCACCCAGAAACTATGTTTTGGTAGCCACTCTGAAACAGAAGGGATTTGGAACTATCTGTGTTGCTTGGGCTTTAGCCATGCTTACAATAGCGTATCTAGATACTTTTAGTTATAAGTTGAGATTATTATAAAAAATACGTAATATTTTCTTATTTGTTGGCGCTTTCGATTGTGAAATTAGAGTTACCCTCAGTTAGACCTCGGACAAAACTAGTTATAATGGAAAATTGGTCTGAGGCAATCCAAATCAATTTTTGATAAAATTCATCAATTTTTGATAAAAAAAAACATCACGCCATCGTCACGCCACTGACAGAGCCAAATGACAGAAAGATAGACGAAACTCAACCGTGTTGTTATATTTATGTACCCATGTCTCTTTTTAACTCACATAAAAGTGTCAAACCATGTATGATTCTAAATAATTGAGTTTTATGAATGGAGTGTTCTGTCTATCCATTTAGATGTCTTTGAATGGTTCTCCAAAAAATGGTTTCGCCAGCATTGCTCGTTTGACTTCATTATAGCGGATATCTTCTTACCCAGGATTTTTAAAGAAGTAAAAAAGAGAATGTAAAAATGATAGCGCCACCCGAAAAAAAAAGTCACTAATCTTTATCGACAAAGAAATAATATTATAAATATACTTAACAGATATCTAAATAATAGTAACGTGCCTTACAATATACTTAACAGATATCTAAATAAAAACAACATGCCAAGGTAAATAATATTCCAATAGACAAATTGCAATAGACAAGACAAATAATTAATTGGTGTTCCTATTATTATTTTAATCCTTTTAGAATAGTCTATAGTAATAGTAATTTAACATTTACAATTTGGATATATCACCATAGGTATTGGTAATTTCTCTTAAAGGTACGCGCACACTGACCAGAGCCGCACCAAAGAATATTATAATTTATTGTATTAAGATATTCTTTGGCCGCACGCGCCCCATCGACCGAAGAAAAATGTGTTGTTTGCGCTACTTTCAATGAAAGTGTGCACACTAGCCAGAGCCGCACGAATCGCATCGACGAAAATGCGGCCAGCATTCTTCTTCTTGGGCCAGAATGATTTTCGGTCAATGCGGCTAGTGCTGCTGACGTCACACGCAATTTCTTCCACTCTACGCGGGTAGTCGAATCGAACTAGCCGAAGAGGAGATTAGAAATTCAGTATGCTAAGAAAGTTCGCAAATTTTTCATGGCTCATTTTGAAATTTTGCAAATATTGTAAACCCGTAACTTTCGATTCTTTCTCGTGATTTCTTCTTTTTTTATTAGCAAGGAGCTCATAATTATTTCTTGTTCGTTGTCATTCATTGTCGAGAAATATTAAAAAAACATGCTTATCATTGCATACAGGACTCCGGAAGCGACTGATGAGAAATTTGATTGGCAAATACGGATGTAGCAGGGGAAAAAGAAACAAAAGAGCGAATAATGCGGTGAGTGCGGCGCGTGTGGCGAATGCGGCGCTGGGCAGTGTGCGCGTACCTTAATGTGACAAACACTGGTATAACAATACATTTACCTTATACAGGGTGTCCCAGAAATAAGAGCAGATATTTTAAGAGGGGGTAGATCTGGTGAAAAGAGACATATTTTCTCTTTACCGTTTTTAAAATAAATTAAAAATAACCGAGTTATTTAACTTTGTAAATTTAAAAAAAATAATAGGAACATTTTGAGAACCGCCGCACAGTGTTTTATGATATAGGGACTAGGGGACAAAAATAATTTATTTTGCTATACAGCCGGTATAATAATACTATTACTCTATATTTGTCAATCATATTCAAGGGTATCTATACACATAATTCATATTTAAAAAATACAATATTCTTAGCAAAAATTTAACTCATAATCAAGTTTTCTATGAGTCAATTAATAAAAGAATACTGGCCGCGCCATAATTGATTGTATTAATGTTTTATAAATAGTGGTTTCTTACTTTTTATTCACTGAACTGAAATCAACTTAATACTTAAAAAAAACGTTTCGGCTAACTATAGCCTTCATCAGTGTTGTGTCATACGAAAAAAATAGCGTCGAATATAATCCAAAAAATTACATATAAAATATTCACACCACATAATGTTTACTGCAATTAATATACTAATATAAACTTATCAAAAGATGACCACATATTTTTTTAAAATTATTACTCTTAACACTAAAACTATCTACATTGACTATGGAGTACGCAGTAAACATTATGTGGTGCGTGGTGTGAATATTTTATATGTAATTTTTTGGAATATATTCGACACTATTTTTTTCATATGACACAACACTGATGAAGGCTATAATGTTAGCCAAAACGTTTTTTTTAAACCAAATAAAAATAATGAAAAACCAAATGAAAACTTAATCAGCGTTTTTCCCGAACCTAAATCCCAAAAAAATAAAAAAATTTAGAATATTTAGAAACAAGGTTCAAGAATATCAAATTTTCCAAGATTGTAAAATTCTAGTTAATTATTTTATGTGTACAATTATTTAGGGAATGTCATCGATGTTCATTTCCAAGCCAACTAGACGCCGATTTTTTTCGATGATACGGTATAATTCTTACATAAAATGTAAATTCTGATGTAAACAACATTAGACGAATTAAAACAAAGAAATATGAATTTCTTAGTATTTTTAGTAACACCTTTATTCTTAAAACTTAGTTTTGTATTGCAAATATACCAATTTTATTGTTATTTTATTCATATTGTATTCAGCCATCACTTAAATATTTGATATTCATTTGGTATTATAAATAATCAACACTATTCAGTAAAAATTACTGAACAAATATATGTTATGCTTTACATACATTATATTATCAAACAAAAACACATTCTTCTTTTAAACTTTATCATTCTTGTCCTTACAAAAATCTTTTTTAATTTTGATCTCAAAATAATAATCTTTTTCATGATCTTTAATACACATATTCTTTATTTTTCCCTAGATCATAATACCTACTTACGTGTTTATCTTACGTGTTTGAATCTATCGAAGCTGAACAACAACACTTGGAGTGGAGATTCCACAATATGAATAAAATAAACATAATTGTCCAGTTTTCATTAATACCATCATGGGAGAATATTATTTTTAAATTTATTAAAGATATTTCCAATAGAATTGTTTTGATTTATAACTCGTACCCACTTTTCTTGCTCTTGCGGATACTTTAGGCTGCCTAGTATAACTATCCTTTCTACCAGGAACACAACAAAGATGAGGCATAGTACCAAAAACACACACCACTTAGCTTTATTGATGAATTGTTAGTCTTAAAAAACACACACAAAAAGCACGATAACTAAAAAATTTATGGGCACTTTTAGGTAAATGCACTTACAAAACGTGTAATATTTCGTGTTTTTTTATGAGAAACAGAGTGACCATCATAGTGACCATATATCTAGTAGTACTTTATGTCACATAAACACCAAAATAATTAGTTTTTTGCACTACAATAACAAATAATACCAAAAATCAACCGAAATATGAATACAGAATCTAACCCAATATCTAAGTATGTACAGCTGATGAAATAAACAAAAGTCCGCCCGTAAGCTGATCTTTTATAGAAGGCATTGATCCAATTACCCGGACCGATGTTCGGATCTCAGACAATTCGACGCTCAGTGTTGCCGCAGAGTCAAGCAAGTATATTAAAAAACAATATATTTTACTACTACTACAACTATATTTTACTACTACTACTATATACTACTATATTACTATATTAAAAAAGTAGAAAAAAGACTCAAAGTCTCGGTCTCAACGTTTATACAATATTAAACTGTTAGACGTGTTTCGCTCATATACGAGCATCATCAGACAAATACAATTAAAATCAATCTAAATGCACGTTCACATTTTACAATTAAAACAACACTGAGATACACGTTCACATTTTACAATTAAAACAACACTGAGTGTTGTTTTAATTGTTGAACGTGTATTTGGATTGATTTTAATTGTATTTGTCTGATGATGCTCATATATGAGCGAAACACGTGTAACAGTTTAATATTGTATAAACGTTGAGACCGAGACTTTGAGTCTTTTTTCTACTTTTTTAATTTAAACCAGGTCTCTTTGAGAAAAATGGATACATTCTTTAAAGCAAGTATATGTTTAAAAATAAATCAGAAAATCACACACACACAGAGATTGCAGAGATTCATTACATTTTTTAGATGTTATTATTACGCAAAATAAATTTAAAAAAATACCCACAACATTAATAAAAGATACTTATGACAGATCGTATGAAGAAAACATCCCTATGCTAACTAGACTGTTAAACCAAATCTACAAAAACATTGAGATTCCACAAGATTGGCTGAAGTACAATTTTTGTCCCTATCCAGAAAATAACACCGCAAAAAGATGCGAACACTTCAGATTAATAAGCCTAATAAGCCATGATTTAAAAATACTTCTTAAAATAATTCAACACAGAATATTCAGAAAATGTGAAATTGAATTAGATGATGGTTAATTTGGCTTTCGAGAAGGAATGGGGACCAGGGAAGCAATGTTTGGCCTGTCTGTCCTCTTACAGAAATGTAGAGACCAACAAAAAGACGTATACATTTGTTTCATCGATTACGAAAAGGCTTTTGATAAAGTAGAACACACAGAGCTGTTTAATACCTTGCAAGAAAAAGGTCTAGACAAGAACGATATCCAATTCTTAAAAACACTATATTGGAATCAGACAGCATACATAAGGTTAGGGCAAGACGAAACAGACGAAATACCAGTACAACGTTTGTCAGGGATGTGTACTGTCTCCCTTATTGTTTAATATATACTCGGGGTATATATTCGATAAGGCCCTACAAGATAAAGGCATTAGTATAAAAATAAATAGCGTCCCAATTAACAACCATAGGTATGCAGACGACACCTCTATTATCGCTGACAACCCTGAGGCTCTTCAAGAACTTCTAGACGATTTGGGCAGGAGATCCATTGGGCCTTAAAATAAACACTGAAAAAAACAAGATAATGGTGTTAGTAGGAGAAATATTCCACCACCCAACATACGAGTATACGGACAATGCGTAGAAACGGTAAATAAGTTCAAATACCTGGGATCCTGGCTAACATCGGGCCTTGACCCCGACTTAGAAGATCGCGTCTAGAACAGGCTAGATCAATGTTTAACAAAATGAGAAACCTATTATGTAACCGATCACTCAACATCAACATACGTCTGCGTTTTGTATACTCAATCCTCTTATACGGCTGTGAGACATGGACGATTAAAATGGACACCATGACACGGTTGGAAGCTTTTGAAATGTGGATCTAGAAAAGACTCTTGAAAATACCCTGAACAGATCATGTACGCAATGAAGAGGTTCTTGGGAGGCTAAACAAGGAAAGGGAATTACTTTTGTAAATATGACAGCATACCTGGGCCATGTCATGCGCAATAGCAGAGTAAAGCTTCTGAAGTTGATTATAGAAGGAAAGGCAGAAGAAGGAACTTGGGAGACGCAAGCACTCTTGGTTGAAAAACTTACGAGACTGGTCCGGACTGAACTCACACGAACTGTTTCGAGCAGCACAGGATAGACAGTGTTTCGCCGCGATTGTTGCCAACCTTGATTAGAAGATGGTACTATAAGAAGAAGATGATGACAGATCGATGTAACTGTGACGGTTCTCTTCATCGATACACACTTAAATAAAATACACTTCACTGTGCTGCTTTACTTGTGCATGCTATTATAATAACTGCTAAAATAATAGTCTCCATTTCTAACACATTATTTTCATATAGGCGTCTTCATAATTTGAAGCACTGATTTACAAAACACCTTGAAAAGCGCACATTACTTTGAATACCTTTCCGAATGAAGAAATGTTGAGAATTATTGCCTCATCAGTCCTAATTTTTGGTGTAGAAATTTAAAATTGCTGTGAATTTATAAATATAGAAATATGTAGAATGCGGATAACGTAGGAAGTGGCAACACTGCAAGGTTTAGATAGACCGCAGGGAAATCTCAGGTGAATAAACAGTGGCACTAAAAAGTTTTTTAAAATTTACTTGAAAATGTAAAAAAAATAATTTTCAACAATTTTTTTTTCGCAAAAACCTCATAGGCGTGTTTTTGGGGTCGAAATATACTACCAGTTAAAATATCTGCACTTATTTCTGAGACACCCTGTATTTATTATAAATAATCATAATCTTACAGATATCAATTAGATACTATTCTATGTGTGAATATTAGATAATTATTTGTAGATAAATGAAATAAATTTCGCCAGTTACTTATAGATAAATTAAAAGAATAATAATCAGAATAATAAATCTTAATATTGGCTTACAAGTTCAATTTTGTAAATTACAAAAATATTAAATAAGTTCTCTTACCTGCTAGTTCATAAAATACATAATTCCAATAGCTTTTACTGATATCTAATGGTCTAAATACAGAATCAGTAAATAACATTTTATTCGTTTATAGCTATTTAAGGACCAGATATTTTCTTATGTTTAACAGAATAGTCCACATTACAACTGCTTTCTCATTAAATTGTGGTTTGCAAATAGGGGTCAGCTGTATATACTGTTTATTAAATTTTAATTAATATTCTATAAATTTTGAGATATAAAACTCATTGTTTTTTAATCCATCATAGGTGTAATGTTATTCAACAAACAAGTCAACAATTTAGTAACTAGTAATGGAAACTATCGAATAAAAACTATCGAAACATTCGACTATTAGGAAAAATGATAACGAGATATGCGAACTTTAAGAAAATCTGGAACATATTTATATCATTTCCAGCGCTTTATACTGCCACACAAAAATAAAGTGGTCTATGCCTTTTTTTCAGACCATCATATCTCATAGTATTTTTCGACGCTAACAGCAAATCCGCTATCAGAATTACATCATCATGTATTTTCTAACCTCAAAAACTTGGCGAAAATCCGTGAAAGTTCAGTAAGATGTAGTAGAATTTTTTTCCCTTATGTATGGTACTATAATCTAATCTAAAAGGGCCTAATAAACTCAAAACAGCTATCAGAACTGAGCTGGCATGTCCAGAGGCGCAACTAGACATATACCTTTAGGGGGGCTCAAGTCTTTTGCGGGGGCTTAGGTCACTATAAGATAATATTGATATGAGGTTAAAACCAATTTTAAACGGCTAACCCCCCCCCCCCGGCGCTAGTTGCGCCATTGGGCATGTGACATAACTTCAAAAAACCTACCACAGTCAAGTCATTTTCGAAAATCGCACGGATCTCAACCAAAATCGGTGAAGGTTTTTTTTTGGGTCGCCGATCATGAAACTGATGTCAGATTGGCAGAATTCAAAGTGGCGGATCTAAAATATGGCCGATTCGAATTTCAAAAATCGCACGAATCTTAACCAAAACCGGCAAAGGTTTTTTTGGCTCGCTGATCATGAATCTGACGTCGGATTTGCAAAATTCAGAATGGCGGATCAATATGGCCGACGCGAAAAAAACCACGCATCCGTACAAAATTAGTATATGGGAGGAAATCAGAATCTGAAGTCAAAGGGGTCATTGATCATAAATCTTACGTCGGAATGACAAAATTCAAGACGGCGGATTCCATATGGCCGACCTCAAGAATAGCTTACTCTTTGGGCACGGGTCCGATTCGAATCGGACTTTAAGAATAGCCTACGCTGTGGGCTGTGAGCGTGGGTCTGATTCTAATCGGACCCGCACCCACAGGTAACACAGGGTAGGCTCTTCTTAAAGCCGGCCATATGAGATCTGCCGTCTTGAATTTTGTGAATCCGACGTCAAACTCGTGAGAAGTGACCCATTTTATCCGAATTTGCGTTCAGCGTCCCAAAAAACTCCCATATACAAACTTTTGTCCATGTCCGTGCATTTTTTGAAATTTGCATCGGCCATATTGGATCCGCCATTTTGAATTCTACCAATCTGACGTCAAATTCATGATCAGCGACCCAAGAAAAACCCTATACCGATTTTGGTTAAGATCCGTGCGATTTTCGAAAACCATGACTTGTGGTAGGTTCTTCTTCTTCTTGTTTTATAATGGCTCTGCTACAAGGCAATCCAGCCATCTCATTTTGAGACTGACCAAGATGTTGACTGGCTCTAAACCATATCAAGGCCACTGATTCTTATCGGATTAAATGTATAGTGGGTAAATTTTAATATAACTAACTTCTAATGAAGGTAACCTGTGACTGTAAAATATTATTATTATTATTATTTATTACATAATATATAAATGAAGTGCTGAAAGGAAGATTATATCACAAACAAAGGCATATAGGGTAGAGGTCATACAAACAAACTGCATTCGGAAACTGAAACAAAAAGAAGATAAAAAATAGAAAGTTGAGCATTATAATTTAATTCTATTAATGTTTAAAAATATCATAATGGTTTCTATTAATTTTTCACTTGGCTTTAACAAAACTGTAAATACTGAAAGTGGGGTAGGAAAGTTCATTTTTTATATAAATGCAAATTAAACAAAAAAATATCGGAGTTTCTAAAAAGATATGATTTAGGCCTTCAACAGTGCCACACTCACAGTATGGCTCTCCCTTCACTTTAATTTTATATAAATGGTGTTTTCTTAAGCAATGGCTTGGATGCATTCTAATTAACGTTGTAATATGTCTACTATCTATATACTGGAAATTTGTAAACCATTTTTTATCTGGGAAGATTGTTTGTATATTAAAATACACATGTTTTTTTTTCTTTCATACAAGATTTCCAATTTTCTTTATAATTACACAAAATATCAGTTTTAATTGAATTAAAAATATCTATTGAATCCATCTTCATACATTTCGGAATATTTAAATCTTTTCCAATATTAGCCAACAAATCTGCCTCTGTATTTCCCAAGATATTGGAATGACCTGGAATCCAAGCAATCCTGATGTCAAAACCATTAAAATTGACCATTACTGACCTTAGAAGCAGCAACGCATGGCTGAGTCGGCTAGTTTAAATATAAAATATTAATTGGTTCATGGATTAATGATCTAATGAACGAGCATTCGGTAGTTGTAATCACTCGATCGTTTAGTAAACATTGCATATCTATTTCATTCGATAGTTCCCATTACTACTAGTAATTATTAAATTTGCTATATCTAATTTTAAAGATTATTATATTAATATACACAGAGAGAAAGATTTAATTTATATAAGTGGAATCTTCCACTTTTGTCTGATAATTAAATAATTTAATTCCTATAGGGTAATTAAATATGTAATTGAAGGAATTCAATTATTTAATTGGTAAATTTAATTGGTTTAAGAAAATCATATTTGCTATAAGTAATAATTTACAATACAGAAAAAACATGATTTAATTCTCTTAATAACAGTTTGTTTCAGTATTATATTATGATATCTATAATTAATGATTGTCAACAAGAATATCTTGATTTAATTGTGATAAGTAAATTATAATTTAGAATAGAAAGGTGTGTATATTATTCCCAATTTTAATAAAATTTTTAAAACATAATATATATTTTATCCGTAACAGTAAACTTTAATTACGAGAAACATACCAGTTTTGTAACTAAAATTATTTTTTATTTGCGTAAAAACAATATTTTTTATACGCACAATTAAGATTTAATTGTAAAAATTTGTTCAATATACTGTAGGGCACTTGACTTGAAGTATAATCGATTCTCTTGATTCAGCACTGGTGATCAGCATTTCTAACACTGGGTTTCCCCCACTTTTTTAACTTCATTGACTTATTACATATATGAAAGAACATAATAGATAAGTCTGAATAAAGGTTCGTGAATCTGAAATTTGGAAAAAGATTATGTCCATCTGGGTTAGGCGCATGTTTATATGTTTTTGAAATTTAACATACCTTGTGATAATTCGCCTTGTAACAGGTCAACTAAAAACTAATTGTCAGTTTTGACAAAAAAGTCTTTTTCTTCAGCTCCAATGCTGCGTCAAACAGAGCAGAGAATTTCGTAAAAAGATTATTTTTTTATCTGGATATTCTATCTCAAAATCTTTTTCAATCTGAAAATGAAGGCGTTTGGTATTAGAAAGAAAATCACAATGGTAATAAAGTATAATAATAATAATAATATTAACAAAAAGAGCTTACTAGGATATATCCCAAAATGATGCTTCAAAATAGGTCATTCGTTTAAAATACTGGACACCGTCTGAAATGTCGAAGTGGCCAACTGAGTACGTCTGAAACTATTGGTTTCGATCTAATGCTTGAGAACGTCCTCAAACGGTTCGGAATGATGTTCGAGCCAAATTTTAGAATTTAAAGCTACTTCAGATATTTGATCTAAAAAAACATGAATAAATATATATAACGTGTGATAGTTTTTACAGAATAGTTCTAACCTTTTCCTGAAGTACTAAATTCATCAGCGCAACTATATCTGTTTCGACTCTGGATTACATTTTTGGAAGTACTACTCCTGCTTCCCTTAAAATGGCCAATTCGTTCTACAATTCACGGACTACCAAGAAATAGACGAAAGCCAGTAATATTTTAATTCTAGGAGGCATGATTTAATTGCCACAAGTAAACTTTTAATTTTATTCTTTCAATAAAATTATAATTATTAATATTTTTTTTTCATTATTATGAAAAATATAATTTAATTGGCGGAATAGAATTTTGTTAAAAATGTTTAATTCTTTGGTTTTTTAGCAAAGTTTTAGTTGAATAAACAATAATTTTATTGCTGTTACTACATCAAGGTCCTTGTGAAGGGTACACAAACGCATTTCAAATACATCTGAAAGTCAACCTTAAAGGTCGTTTAAGGTCTCACAACAAGGTTCTTTCTGGAATCACTCAAGGAGGTTTGAAAGCCACATATGTCAAGGTCAAGCGAACTGCGCATGTGGAGGAGCCCAATCGGCTAATATCTCCTACTAATTGATTTAATAGGCACGAATAATTTATTTCTCTCTGTGTAATTTCAGTAATACGATTTCCCAAAATTATAACCAAATTCTGATTCCTGGTCTTAGTTACTCCTATAAAATAAAATAGTATTGTAATCATTTTACAATTACTCATCGAAAAGATCAAATGCCGGAGAGGTATCGGAAGGAAAAAAAAATGGCGCCGGGAGGCACGTATAGCCGCCCATACTAAAATATGTTAATAAAAAGTTGGTAGGCAGTTCTTTTAGCTTCAAAGTAAAGGATTTTTTCCAATTTTGGTCCGCGGTTATTTCCCCTATCCGCCACCTGGGGTCGCGTCCGATGGGAGTTTGGAGTTCTCCACACGGATTTTCTCTAAAAAACGGACTACGGAAACACGGAATATCTCAAAAACTGCGACTTTGACTGATTTTGATGTTTTTACAAATTTCGTTGCAAATATTATTCCTAATCTAAAATTGAAAACCGCGTTTCGCTAGCTACTGTAATTTTGGAGTTACGATTTTTAAAATTTTTTAACCCCCTCCCATACCCCCTTACCAACCCCCCACCCCCACCAAAATCTAATGGCCAGATTCTCGGATGCTACAGTATTTTTGTGCCAAATTTG